TCCTACGCACTTTATCTGTGTTCATGCTTCAACTTGTACCCACATGTGTGGGAATCTTCTTCTCCAGAGCCTGACCTTGAACATCAGTTCCACACAAGTCACTCCTTCCCTGTGTGAGTATTTGCAGAGGTACCTCACTGCTATTCTGAACACACTCCCAGCTGCCATGGGTCTTTCAGAGAACTGCTTCTGAATGAATGAATGAATGAATGAATGAATGAATTCCTCGAATTCCTCTACTTGGGACTACATTCAAAGTCTCTCTTCATCCCCGCCCCCACTCCCTCCAATTTTCTCATTCTCACATCTTCTTGTTCCTCAACATGGTCCTTCCATCTCCAGCCAAGGTGTTCAGCTTCCTGCCACCACCATCCCCAACACAAAATCCCACCTCTCCATTCCCCTACTCTCCCTCAAACCAGTCTCCCTTCTTTCTAGCCACGCTGCCAGTCAGTGACTTTGAATCTCAACTCCAAATCCAGTTTTCTATGAGGATTTCCCTTCCTCATTCCATCTGACCAATGCCTGTTCCTCGAGTCATTCCATAGAGTTAGGGAGTATCACATGGGCACCAGGTCCCATATAGCTGCTAGGGACCTAGTGAATTCACGCCACCCATGCTATCAAGCTCTCAGCCAGGTCAGAGACAATCCATTCATTGTAGGCTCTGCAGTCTATGCAGGAGGGGTTCCTGGGGCAGAGACACCAGAGATGAGGCCAGCTAAGCAAGAAAAAGCAGCTGGATGATGCTCATTCCCTTCCCTGGTCCTGCCTCCCATCCATGTCCCAGGGCACCACATCAAAACGCTTTTGTGGATATTCTCCCCAGACTGTTCTGAGCTCATTTTTTTGCTGTAAGCCATCTTGGCTCCCAGACTGCAAGCTCTTTGAGAACAGCAAAATCCTAGGAGCTTTGCCACACTCTCTCCTGTATTCTTCTCCACTACCTCCCACACACACAACCACACATATACTCTGGTGCGTTCGGTATTGCCCAGTGACTGGTGAGCAATTGAAAACAGCTCAGGCCTTTCATTCCTTCTCTTTCCCCTCCAGCTCCAAGCTGAACTTGGGTCCCTTCACAGCCAACCTCCCACTTGCCATCTTCCGCCCCTGCCACCAGGCACTTCCCTTTATCTCTTCAGGCCTCCTCTGTCTTCCAAGCACAGGAGCCCCCGAGTAATCCCTACTATACTAACAAAACAAATCTAACGCTTACTGAGTGCTTTCTATTTGCTAGACCTTATTCTTCTACTAGAATGTAGACTCCATGGGGGCAGAGATTTCGTTCACTGCTGTCACCCCAGCACTTAAAATAATGTCTAGCACAGACCCAGCACTTAATACTTTGAAGATCTAACACGCAGTAGACCCTTGAACAATGCAGAGATTAGGAGCATCAGCATCCCCCCACTTAATCACAAATCCACGTATAACTTTTGACTCCCCCCAAAACTTAACTAATAGCCTACTGTTGACTGGAAGCCTTACCGATAACATCAACAATTGATGAACACATACTTTGTGTGTTATGTGTATTATATGCCGCATCCTTACAAGAAAGTAAGCCAGAGAAAAGGAAATGTTAGTAAGAAA